ATGAGTGAAAACTTGTATTACTCAAACCACAAAGTTATTACAATCAGCATCAGCGATAGCTAGCTCGACTGCACTGGAAGGGGCAGTGTCCATCCAATTTAGGTTCTACTTTCTGATCTAGCAAAATTCGCTAAAAAGTTGATAACCTTATTTATGGGCTAACACGGGTAATACAAGTTTCACTGAGAGTCATAAGACGTCTAATTTCTTTGACGATGGACGAATAGATTGATTTTTCCTTATCTGGGGCTTGGATCATCTTGACAACTACAACTAGAGTCCAACTCGATAGACAAAGGGAGACTCGCTTCTCTTGAGAGCCATAGATAAGCCCTTCATACAAGCACACAACTCCGCCTTAAAGCTTTACGACATGAAAAAAGCTGCATCCATGAAGAAATAATGATGATCTCTTGATTATCGCATAACATCATACCTGCCCCAATGCCATCCAAAGCAAAGAGCCATCATAATTCATCTTCATTCAACCAACATCTAGTGGCAACCAAGTAAGAACAGATTCCTGTGTCGGAAGTGGGCAAGGAATTTTTGCCATGCGATCATGGCTAATCACCATCTTCCCATTCCGAGGGTCAATGTTGGTGCCTCCTTTGAGTGCAATAAGAGAATCCCAATAGCTGACGAGGAACCTTCTAGAAGCATCCATTGGGAGTGGATGTTCGTGGTGTACTCTCATTGGGAATAAACCGGCAAAGTGATAACACCATAAGCAGCTTACTCCTCTCAATATCCTATAAAGATTCAAGGGCATGCAATAAACATTATTTCCTTGTTATGTACCTCCTCGAGAGTCGGCAGCCTCCACACATCAGACATTGTATGCCAAACTTCACACGCCACAAGGCAGCAACAAAGTGGATGCAAATTGTCCTCAAGTTCTGACAACACTAACATGACATATACTTGAAACTTCTAGACCCCTCTTATGCTTATTCGTCCATGTAGGTAATGAGTCGGTTTCTACTCTCCAAGAAAAAATGCCGAACAACATGAGGCACTTCAGCAGACCAGATCACTTTCCACCAGGATCTACATCCATCAGGAGTCGAACTTGATGTTGTCGCACCATCTCTACTGACCTCTTCGAATGCAAGCCCATAGGCACTTTTAACAGAAAAAATCCCAAACTTTCCAGGACCCCATGCAAGTGTATCCTCCTCTAATCTTAGTGAAGCCTTGATCTTAAGAATTTCATCAACATCACATGTCATGAAGTAGATTTTAGCAACTCTAGATTCTAGGAACCATTTTCATTCAAAAGTTCAGGGACAAAACGAATACGACAGCGCCCTTGAGAAGTCACGGGTTTGTATGAATGTGGGTAAGGTATCCAATTATCTCACTGTTATGCTAGTGCCATTGCCTATCCTCCAAACAAGGTCATTTTTATAAGATTGAGACCATAACTAATTGCTTGCCAAGAAGACGATGCATTACCAGAGAAGACCATGTCTTCGAGCTTGCCATCTGGATAATGCCGGCTTTAAGCACTTGAGCACAAAGACTATCAGGCCTAACAATAAGGCGCCAAGCTTGACGAGCCAAAAGAGCTTGATTAGACAATCGATAGTCGTGGAAATCCACCTTTACTCTTAGGCTGAAGCAAATGATCCCATGCTTTCAAGTGTACTTTTCGGTGACCCTTTCATGAATCCCAATAAAAGTTCCTAATTATCCTCATGAGATCATCGCACACCAAAATAGGAAGTTTGAATACGCCTATGATAAATGCAGCAAGGGTCTAGGTTATTGATTTTATCAAAACATGCCTGCCAGCCTGTGCTAGGTGCCCATCACCAGTGGCGGCGCCAGCCTCATAAATTTGTGGGGTCATATGGATTTTTTTAGATTTTTTCTTCATGATGAACAGTAAATGAATAATAATTCTAGGCTATTTTCCAAAAAAGCCATGGGGTTGGCTGACCCCACAGCTTACACATAGAATCGCCGTTGCCCATCACCCTACTGAATCAACCTTTTGGTCAAACTTGCTTATAGGTTTTGAAACTGTCCTTTTGACATGCGTCCTTACTGAGTAGGTAGACCTTAGGTACTTCTCTTCAAACACCGGCATGGTAACATTGAGAACTACCCTAACATCCTCCTGGATCGCCATAGGGCAAGAGCGGACAAACGCTGAGCATTTATTGAAGTTCAAACTTTGCCCCGTGGCACGACCGTAAAAATCGAGCACATCCTTCACTCTTAGCCTCTTACAGCCTAATCATGGGAGGCCTCAAAAAATAACGTGGTGTAGGATCGAAAGTATGTCTAGAGGGGGTGATTAGACTACTTGACCAAATAAAAATCTAGCCTTTTCCCAATTTTAGTTCTTGGTAGATTTTAGCAACATAGCACAAGTCAAGCAATCAACCTACACATGCAATTCTAAGAGTATAGCAGCGGAATGTAAAACAATTGCATATGAAGGTAAAGGGATGAGTTTGAGGGAGCAAACGCAATGTTGACACGGAGATTTTTTATCCGTGGTTCCGATAGGTGGTGCTATCGTACATCCACGTCGATGGAGACTTCAACCCACGAAGGGTAACGGTTGCGCGAATCCACGGAGGGCTCCACCCACGAAGGGTCCACGAAGAAGCAACCTTGTCTATCCCACCATGGTCGCCGCCCACGAAGGACTTGCCTCACTAGGGTAGATCTTCACGAAGTAGGCGATCTCCTTGCCCTTACAAACTCCTTGGTTCAACTCCACAATCTTGTCGGAGGCTCCCAAGTGACACCTAGCCAATCCAGGAGACACCACTCTCCAAGAAGTAAAAAATGGTGTGTTGATGATGAACTCCTTGCTCTTGTGCTTCAAATGATAGTCTCCCCAACACTCAACTCTCTCGCATAGGATTGGATTTGGTAGAAAGAAGATTTGAGCGGAAAGCAACTTGGGGAAGGCTAGAGATCAAGATTTATGTGGTTGGAATGGAATATCTTGACCTCAACGCAAGTGTAGGTGGTTCTCTCTCAGAAAATATGTATTGGAAGTGTAGGCATATTCTGATGGCTCTCTCCATGAATGAAGAGTGGGTGGAGGGGTATAAATAGCCTCCACACAAAATCTAACCGTTACACACAAATCACCAAATTCGGTGGGACCGAATCATGAAACTCGGTCAGACCGATTTAGTTGAAAATGTGAACGTTAGGATTCTTGGTGGGACCGACATGTCAACTCAGTGGGACCGATTTCGTTAGGGTTAGGGCATAACGTAATCTCGGTGAGACCATACACAAACTCGATGAGACCGATTTTGGTAATGGACTAACAGAGAGTTGGTCAGGCAAACTCGGTGGGACCGATTCACTCATCTCGGTTGGACCGAAGTGTTACAAAAGGGAAATAGAGAGTTTACATTGCAATCTCGGTGGGACCGATCGCTCATCTCGGTTTGACTAAAACATTACGAAGGGAAACAGAGAGATTACAATCCCATGTTGGTGAGACCGAGATCCCTATCGGTAAGACCGAAAAGACTAGGGTTTCTGGCAGTGGCTATGTCAACTGAACTCGGTGGCGCCGGATAGAAGAATCGGTGGGGCCGAGTTGGATATTTGGTGTGGGACATATGTGGATATGAGAAAGTAGTGGAGGGTTTTG